CAACACATTTTCATTTTGCTGCCCCATTATTTCTGCAGCAAGTCGATACGATATGAGGTGAAGCGTGCCTTGCTCAGCACTTATTGATCTGTCTGTTTGCCCATTGCTTACATCAAAACACCACTTGTCAGCTCTGCTCTGTTATGATTATCTTATCACACAGGAAGTGACAGCCTCAAAGACTAAATGCTAGGCAACATCCAAGGTCAGGTGACACCAAAAACCAGCCCAAATTATTTTAAGCAAGGCAAAGATCATGAGAGGAACCCCATGGACCACAAATGACAAGACAAGCTGTCTTGATTTTTTGGTTGAAGAAGGAATTTGGAATTTACCCAAAGCTTGTCCATCTTCCTATAAGGAATGCTGACCTCATGGGAGATTCCATGAGTGGAGTAGAAATGTTGTACATTGGTTTGAACTTTTTACTTCCTCAGCAAGTGCTTTTCACACTAGAAAATCACAACCCCGCTTGTTGAGGACACATAGACTGTTGTGTGTCAGTGTAGCATATCAATAACACTTTTGACCAGGATTGAATGCCCAACTTGTCACCTCTCTGCATATTCAATGAACCCAAATAGTGGATGATGTTCCATCTTGCCCTGGCATCATGTGATAACACATGTGAGCAAAAAAAAAATTCACTGCCTCCCCTTTACTGCATGTTTCTCTCTCCCCTGCAGACTTTTGCTCTCAAGAGCCTTGAAATATACATTTGGCAAGGCAACTCTGCTCTTTCTTAACATGCAGCAGGGCAGTGTCTGAATAAATGAATATGATTAGTGAATCCTCGCTTAAAGGATCGATCACCTTATCTATGTAAAAAAGAACTGTGAGAGACAGATGCCAGCTGCCAATGTGCTGATGCATTTTGGAGTTCGTCAGCAGGGGGGGAAAGTAGGGCTGTGAGTGACAGCAGAGCTTCTTGAGGATTTGGGTCATGTTGTTTTAAAATTCCAGACAGGAAAGATTAAAATTTACGGCTAGATTACTGATTGATTGAAATAATGTACCCTCCAATCTGGAAAATGGCAAAGGCCCAGTAGCGACCTCCACTGCACAGTTGTCCTTCTACATAAGGGTCACAGTTTTAAGCAAAGAGATTTCCTGTACTTGGGCTTCTGCAAAGGGGTGAGCCTCTGCAGAGAGAGACATTTAGTACAAGGTGGTTCAGAGGAAAGAGGACCCTAAGTGTCCCCTGACACAGAGGCAATCTAGGGCACTGTGCAATGGCAGTGTGCAGAAAATATGAAAACCCCTACACAGAATGTGTTCATTACCAAATTGTCATCTGCTTCAAACCCATGCTTTGGAGGCACTAGGCAAGATCAAGAGATGCTGCCAACCACCATATGCACCCAAGAACCACAACACAGGGGTTGCAAACCCATGCACACTCTACTAAACACCTTCTCTTCTTTTGCCATTCCTTCACTGTGGAAAAACACATAAAGGACTTTCTGGAATGACAGCCAAGGTTGGCATGCAATGGCAGGGAACACAAGGAGAGCTCATTCACCATGGGAGGCTCCATGCATTTTGCCAGAGCGCAATGTGGAGCACATTAATTCTGCTTCTCTCAGTGCAAGGCTGCAAAACAGGTTTAGAGTAACTCATTTACACTGTACAATGCCAGTACCCAGGAACTCAACAGTTCACATAAATACAGACCCAAATTATTTATTGTAACATGCTTTTAAAGAGGAACTGAAGTGCATTTCCATGCATTTTGTATTACTGGTGTGGGTTTTTAAATAATCCAGTTACATTACAGCTAAATCTGATGAAGAAACAGCTGACTAGAGCTGACTTGTGCTCCCTGATTTACAAGTGTTTGATTTCACTTTCATGCGCTAGATTTCTAATTGTAATCTATCCTATTCAAGTTGCAGCCTGCCTGCCACTCACTGCTGGTTACAGAGCAAGGGGGACTCACATCCCTTCCTTCACCTCTCTGTGGCCTGATCCTGCCCTTACAACAAAGCTCACTTGTGGCCTATCCAACACTGTGCTTTTCCCTTTGATGCACACACTTTCCCTGCCATGTCTCTCCCTTGAACCTCCCAGGTTCAGCTTTTGAGTTTCTCATTTTTGCAAGTCCTTGTTCTCTATCAGATAGTCTTTGTCTTCAAGGCTCTCAAAAGCTACCAGCAGCAATTCCCTACTGCAGTTTGCAGAAAATATGGGCAACATCCTTTAAACACACTTCTCCAGCAGAAAAATGAGGGGCTGCTGGCACTATGCTACTTGCATTGCCTGGTGTTTCCATCTCCTGGAACAATGGAAGGGAAAGGTGCTAATGATACAATGTCCATTTTGCAGCTGCAATGTACTTACAGAAGGAGGTAATCTAATTGGTACCATATTACTTTAACAGCAAAATCAGTGACAGGAACATGCACACTGAAGTGCTAGGTCATTTGGGAAGAGTTCATATGAGCTGTGGTGGCTGGGCTCATTGCTGTGAGCTCTGAGAAAATTAGATAGAGGTGAGCTATGAAAGAGGAAAGCCGGAACTAAACTGAAGCCTGTGTGAATCCCAGAAAAGCCCAATAAATTTTCTCTCTTTTTCTTCATCTATTGGGATGTTTTTTTTCAAAGCTTGCAGCTCAGGATCTCTGAGCTAAACACTTCACTTTTTGAAGTCCTGGGGAAGCTGGTGTACAGTCTGGGGAGCCTCCACTAAAACTGATCTTGCATGTAAATCAGTGCAAGGCATGCCAGGGTGCACCAGCCACTGTGGGTCTGCGGATGTCCTTCGGGTCTTTAGCCCTTGGCATCATCTGTGCAATGGGAGCACATCCAGCCAGGGCTCTGATGGCACTGAAATGGTCAGAAACCACAGCCTGGCTGACAGAGTGCAGCTGAGCCTTCATTTAAATACTCACAAGGGGAGAAAAAAAAAGGGGGAGGGGGGGTGGAATTTCTTCTATTCAGTTCATTCCTTCTATTATTCTTCTTTGCACATGCTGCGTTTGTTTTTGTCATTAGGTTTCCAGTGTCCCTAATAAGATATTAATGAGATGCTAATTCAACATGCAAATTACAGGAGACTGGCATGGTAAGATTGCTATATTTAGAGCCAGAGCAGGATTTTAATGGCTGTCTTCACCCATCTTGTGCCTTTTGTCAATTGCTTTCTTACTCCAGTGAGCAGTGCCGCATCCCTGAAGTGTCTAGGTGACCTTGGAGGTTAGGAAAGAGACAAAAAATCTGGACTATATTTCCATAGTAGTAATGAGAAAATCTCACTATGTTTCAAAGACACTGTCAAAAGCAAGCCCTCTTCTTTGGGGAAAAAAAAAAATAATAAAATAAAGACCTCAGAGCCTTGTCCATTCAGGAGCAATAGCAAGGGGAAAGGAGAAATGAGATGCTCATGGCCACATTGCAGAGTTCAGGAGTGATGCCTGCATCCAGGTCTGACTCCATCACACAGCCTGGTCTGGAGGAGTGGAACAGAGGAGAGGGTTTTTTATGTCCTGTGGTCCAGCACATGCAGCGTACTCTGTCCCATGGCCTGAGGCACAGGCAGGGGCTCTGCTCCTCCATCCATTGACACAGTAGGGCTGTGAGGTGGCTGCCTTAAGCTCACAGCAAACACACCAGTAGTTTGCACTCCTAAAATGAATGCTGCTGGAAATGTCCCCTTTAGAAAGCAAGCAAGCTGATGACAACAGCTTGCTATTGATGACAACATCCATTCCTATCACATTTGCATTCCCATGACATGCTCCTCTCCCAGTGAGTGTGAAAGAACACCTTCCCACACTGAACTCGAGGGCCAACTCTGCAAGTTACACCAGAACTCAAGGCTTCTATTTTGTCACCTAGAAATTGAGCATAAGGCTAAAGTCTTCTATTTACAAAAGTTGTAGCACCACAGGCTAAAGAGATTTTTAAGCACAGTAACTTTAAAGGTGCTTAAGCCTGAGAGAAGGCCTAGGTAGTAAAAACAAAACACGCTTTCTTGCCAGAAGCTGTAATCAAGTACCTCACTTCACAGGTTGACATGAGAAGCTTGTCTCTTCAGAAGTTTGATAACCATGTCCCACTGCAGTTTAAAGTCAGTTTTCAGACTGCTGGGACCCCCTATCCTGAAGCAAATTAATTCTGTTCCTGACCATACCAAGGACCAAGTCCTTCAAACTACCAACTCTAGAATACTTCTAAGAATAAGGTGAGTTTTTAATTATTCTTGTTATTACTGAAAAGTGTCAGCAGCAAGCTCACTATCACATTTACTGTCACCATGTTATCATGTGCACATCAGATGCCCCCAGCTTCAATGACAAGTGTACACCCAATCCCTGCCAACAGTCAGTCCCACTCACAGAGAGGCTTTTGTGTGCTTCTCAAAAGCCTAAAACATCTTTTTCCAGTCTATGCGTACAGATACATGTAAAGGGACACCAAAAGGGATTGGCTTACAAAGTTACTGAATCCCCAAAACAGCACTCTTAGGTTGTGGAAACCAGTCATAGCCCCTGAACCACGTGTCTGCTTGGGCAGGCATTGCCACATTCTGTATTTGCAGCTTTGTGTACCAGGCTTCCAGCCCACAAACAGCACTTTTAATGTTACTCTGTTTTCAGATATTACCCTGAATATCTGGCTGGACCTTTGCTTGCAGACAGACAGCCTCCTGGCTCTGTTGCTTCTTACAGGTTTTGATCATTTGCATCAGCTGAGAAACTGGCTCCTATTTTATGGATTTTTTTTTCCCCTCTGAATCACAGTCTCTGGACTAAAATGGTACCAAAATCTCTGCAGACTTCTCCCTCCCCCAGTGATTTCAGCTGTTTTTATTGCTCTGAGGCACCAGACAGTTTTGTTAATAACAGTAAATCCTTTTAGCCTCTGGTTAGTGCAGGTTGTGCTGTGATTGACAAGGTAATAAAAGTGTTAATGAGAGAAACTGGCACAGCCAGAGATCAATAGTTGCCAATAAGAAAAACAATTCTGATACTTAATTTTGTAGAATTCCCCCAAAGCGGTTGAAAATACATCACAATCGGTCTATTTTATTGTTTAATAGATGTTCTCTCCCTGGTGGTCTCAGATAGAGATCAAATTAACTGGAGATTGGGTGAAATGGCAAAGAAGAGAGGATTCTTGTTCTCCCAAGTTTGCAGGACTGTTGGGACATGGAGCTCTAGGGCAAAGCACATTTCACATTTCTGAAATAAATGTGTTCGGGGCTACCTTTCCCATCCAGATGATTTCCCAAATCACTCCTTTCTGCACATTTTTCCTGCAGTACAAATACAGGGGGGTGGAAATAGCACACAATGACAGCTGCAGTGCCAATGGTCACATTGAGGTTACGGCCAGAAGATCAACCATAATCAAAATGCTGACTCAGTGGTGCTGTCCCAAAGGTACCAAAAATACAGGTAAGCTGAAGGAGTCAGGGAAGATGCCCTTTGAAAGAGAAAAAAAAATAAGATTAGTGCCAGCCTGTGTTTCTGAGAGCTGATCAGTGTGGTAAAAGTAGATGAAGTGCATACAGCTTGTACCACAGATTATCAGTTTCTTGCTAAGGCTCCTATACACAGCGCACCCTGTGTGGCCCTAAACACCCTTTAACACCCTAAATCCACTCTCACAAATATGTCTGGTGCCAGATGCATATAAAAGCCTAATCTCATTTCAAGGGCAGCTGTTAAATTTAGGAGAATGTGTGCTGGCAGTAGGAAGCACTGCCAAACTGGAAATGCAGTGAGGGGAGGGAAACGATTTTAAGAGGGGCACAAATAGGCTGTATGTCAAATGGAAGAGAAACTGCTCTGCATTTGTGAAAGTATGGAAAAGAGGAGAAGAATCAGTCTTTAACTATCCAAAAATGACCGTGAATACATTTGTGTGTGTGTGTGTGTGTGTGTATACACATTTTTTATATATATACATTTTTATTTGACACAAGATTTCCATTTCTATCCCTGTACTATGAGGGGTTCAAGTGGTACAGAGAGGAGCAGTAGAGGACACTGGTACAGGGCTGACTTTGGATTCTAAGTTCACCAGTCAAAAAAATCGGTGGCAAAACTTCACCTATCTTTTGACAAACAGCAGAGCCTTGGCAAAGTTGAAGGCTTTTAGAAATAACTTCACTTTTTTTTTTTTTTAACGTGTAGGAATGACACGTAGGCTCTGACATAGACTCTTCTAGTATTACATCCCACAGGTGTCTTGTGGGCTTTAGGGCAGGCACGGGGAGGCTGGCAAATGCAGATGCTCTCACTTGACACTGGAAAAGTTCTGCACAGTGATAAACGCAGGTTAATTCAGCTACACAGGTATGCAGACAGCAGCATAACAGAGAAGTGCTTTTTCTGAAAGTTTTGGTGTGAGCTCAAAGGTGCTGTGAGCCACACTCTCACCTGGCAGGAAAGGAATCGTGACTAAATTTTCCAGCATGGGCCCTTAAGTTTTTGACTAAAACTACATGGATCCAATCCAGGTCTAGTTGGGCATGCAAGGTCTCCAAATTCAGTCTCTGACAAGTCAAGTAGGGATTTTTGTGGAGAAAATACAACTAAAGGAGAGCCAAACCATGGGTAGGTAGATCCAAATCTGCTCTTCCTTGCTCCTCCCATCCCATAGCATAATTAAACAAATATTCCTGCTTGTAGAGGGGAATAATTGGAATCAAAGAGCATGAAGAGAGAGATCAGCATGAAAGGATACCCAGATGAAACCAAGGGGTTTGGCTTATCCCTTTGGCTTTATCCCCGTTTTCTCATCCTGTCTGTTTTAATGTGGCACTAAAACCTTATTGTCTGACTGCATTATTATTAATGACAACTGGTATCCCAGAGGTCAGGGTGGCACTGCAGCTTGCCATTCACTTTAATTATTGATGCACATCACCAGCTTCAGAAATAAGAAGAGATAAATCGAGGATTATTGAATCCCATCTTATGCTGTGTGTTATCGTACACTCTACATCCTGATCGGTTCCTATCAGCTTTTCTCAGCTCACTGCAGGAAGGGAGGGGAAAATCAAGAAGGTTTTCCCTTTATGTTTTCATTCTGCCCACATCTTTACAAATTTGGCCAAAACAAATTCTGACCATCACATTAAAGGCTACATCTGCTTAGTGACTTGGCTCATGACCACTATATTTAGGTATTTAGCTCTTTAGATATCCAAATATGAAAGTATTTAGCTCTTTAGCAACACAAATATTTAGATATGTCCACAGTAGTTGTTGCTGTACTTCAGGACTATCACTGAGACAGGTAGAGGTACATGGTTTAGTCTCATTTAGTGGGAACAGATCAGACTAAAGAGAACTTAAAGATGTAGATAAAATTCAACATTCTCTGTTAAAACACACTATTCACTGTCATTTAACTCAGATTCAACACTGAACTAAGCAAGCTGAATAAAAGCAGGGGAGTGAATGGGTTTTTCAGACAACAAAAAAAAAGTAATAATATCTCAAGTGTATGAAGTATTTTCCCAGCAGAGTCTTTCCAACCCAAAGAGCCATCTCTTACATGGCATATTCAAAGAGAGAGAATTTATGGGTGAAAAAAAAATTAACAGATTCTCTGCATCAGCCAAGAGTCTATTCCACATATTGGGCATCCCACTAAAATAATAATAATGTATAATTCATGGAAATGTATGCAAAAGCCAAACGAGAGAAGCTATCCATATGCACTAAATACCCATGCTAGTTTTGAAAGGCAGCTCAGAAGGAATAGCAGCCTTTTATCTATGCTATCATTTACAAGCCAGGTAACTGAGCTCTCAAGTTCCAGCAGACTGCATGCTCCCAAACGTAACTCACCGTGTTTGTTGGTGATAAAACAAGATTAGGAGAATGGGGGTTAGGAAAAAGCTTCCTGTAGGGAACACTGCCCACACCAGTACATGGCTTTTCCACATTTTCATGCAAGGCACAAGTAACCTTGTTAGCTTTTCCTTATATACCTTCAATTATGACCAAGAGGCAGGTTGGCCTGCCACATAAGTTAAAGAAAGATCTTTGGCAACCCCCCTTTCTGAACTGAAGCAATGAAATATATATATATGTATATTATACATATATACACCAGCTCAGTTTTGCTCCCTTTCAATGCATGTTGACTACCTCTCACAGATGCAATGACAAGAGGTGCCTGTGGCAATCGCACGGTCCCCTTCTCCTTCGGAGAACTGGCAGAATGAAGGGGAAGAAAAGCCCAGAAGCCTTTTTTAGCCTCCTTATTTTTCTTTGTCACATCATTAAGGGTTCAATGAATCTCCAATTAAATTTCCCTGACTGCTGTCACCATTTTGATTGATAGGTGTCCTTGGATCAACCTCAGTAGGGCATGTTGTAGCACCGAACTCCCCCTTTCCACTCACCATCCATTATCAGCCCCTTGTCATCATTACCTTCACATGTCAGTTCATTTACCACAGGAACGGTGTCACCAACCAATAGGGGAAATAGAAAAACATTTGTTACAAATAGGGAAAAACGTTAATAAATCAGGTTGGGCTTCAGCCTGAAATTCATGGAGAAACAGTTTATCTCCAGTGTGCTTGTTCACCAGTTGCCCTTATATAAAACTCCAAAAACACACACATGCACAAATACAGAAGGAGCAAACAAACAGGGTAGAGCCTGTTTAAAGGTGCTTGTAAAGGTGCAGATAAAGCTAAAACAGGTTTTACAGCTTCGGACTTCATTTTGAACCCCCAAAATATCTGGATCCTTGAGTTAACTTCAAAACCCTGTCACACTAACAATATTTAAGCTACAGAGGCTAAGAGTCCTCGTTACTGACATTTCTGGAGATTTTCTACCAAAATAGTTTTTCATCAGAAAGTAAAAACTTTGTCAAAATCAAAGCCATTTCTACAAAAGGGTCATTTGTGATGAACTCCCCATTGGAAACAAACCCAAAAAACAAAAAACCAAAAAACCCAAAACAATCAGGAAGAAAGAAACAGGATATCTTATGCTTATAGAAATTTCTTTTTTTCCCATTTCATCTGTTTAGAAACCTTACGATAAAAAAGGTATTAAAAATGAAATGTGCAAAGTACAATATAAAATTTTAAATTTGTGAAAAAAGTATTTAAATTAAGTTTAAATTTAAATCTGATTCAAAAGTTACATTAAATTTTCCTCTGACTTTTGCAGCTTTGTGTCAGAACTTGGCTCTGTTTGGGAACTCCTCTGAAACCCAGAATATCTACATGGGATGGCAGCACCATTCTGTGTTTGGCACCAATGCCAGGAGCCGTGCACACAGATTTCAGGTTACATATGAACTGTCCCACTGACCTAGCTAGGACAATAGCCAGGTTTTTGTTCCCTGTTTGTTCAGCATCTTGTGGAGTATGAATCTGTTTATGACAGACGTGCCTGTCCCTGCTGTGATTTATCACATAAAATGGTCTTTATACATTTCACACCAAGGACTGAATCCCCAAGGACTGACATAGAACTACTGCTGCAATCCCTCTTCTTTTTACCTCTGATCACCATGAAAGGATAGAAACACTCCTAGATGCCTGGCAATTGACAACTCAGCAGGGAAGGCCTGCCCTTCAAAAACAAGTAAGTAAAACCAGAACAGCCTTACTAAGTTATTTGTAAATGAAACCTAACTGCAAGTGTGCTGCAACACACCATCATCCCCATTGCAACAACAGCTCCTGGTATGGGAGGCAGCCAGCACACCTTGCCCCGAAACCCTTAGGGCTCAGTGAAATGCCTCTCATTTGCATGAGTTTCATCATTTGCTAGAGGTTTATCCACCAGAGTAAGAGACACATGTGTGCCTGCAACACACTGGACCGTTTTACCCAAGATACAGTTCAGTCCCTACCTGTAGTTCCCATGAGCTCCATCTATTCCCAGGAAGACAGCTAACCTCACAACAGGGGAAGACCAGCTTTTCCCTTAGGGAATGTTTGGAATACCATCTCAGCAATTAAAAAGCTTCGCTGCTATTGAAATTAAGAGGATTAATGCTTTTAAACCCCAGGGATTCCTGGTTCATCAATTCACCAGCACACATTTTTTCCTATCTGGTTTAACTAATTTTAGCTGGATCAGCTAAGGATCCAGGAGCAGCAGGACAGTGAGTTCACATGGGGCAAGAGCCGCTTGGTGAGCAGAGGCTGCAGGTTTGCAAAGGCTACTCCAGAGCACCACAGCACCTTGCAATTTGCCCTGATTTATTATGCAATTAGCAGTGAGTGTGTCTCAGTGCACCACAAGAGACTGGCAGAGCTCAGTGTTTAAAGCTGACTTTGTACTCAGGCACCTAAATATCTGCCCTGGTTTTCTTCGCTGATTTCAATAAGAATTTTGTCTGAAAATTAAGGTAACTCCTAGAGATTCCCAGTGCAGAAAATCTCAAAGACAAAAAACTATGAACCATAATTTTAAGTGGATGACTTTCATGTAACCTCATCAGACTGAATGCTACAGACATAGAGAAGAAACTTAGTTTACTGTAAAGCCACAGTACAAATGCTTGCTGTGGAACGGAGATGCATAGACAGACCAGAAATGAAGAATTCCTGTGGGAAATCAAGTCATATGGTGGCTATAAAAACCAGATGCACATGGAGACATGGAGAAGGTTTTAAATACATATGCATGGACCATGATAAACACTAGGCCTACAAGGGCTGGGTGGAGCACATGTGGCTGCTCCCCATACCCAGACCATTTCACCAGGAGGGAGAAGATGGGGGTGAACATAACCTTTCAAAGGTTAATGTGGTTTCACTTGCCCAATTTTGTCTGTACTTGCTTTTGTTCAGCTGAAATCCTCTGTTTGTGACAAAACTCTCGACTCCTGGGTCCCTCACAAGATGGATCAGCAAAATGACAGTCACCCACTGCAGTTCTATTGAATATTTGTTCCAGTGGTTGCCTCTTGCTTGGTGGAAAAAGGGAGATAGGGCACGATAATTAACTTGGGGCTTTTTTGGATGGGTATTCTGAAGTCTCCGAGCGTGTCCCAGCTCCCATAGCCTATTGAATGTGCCCTCAAGGCAGCTTTCCTTCCTTTTGCCATTCACAGCAGTATCTCTTTTTTAATTTTTCTGTGCATTATTGAAAGCCTCTAACCTAGCAAGAAATTTTGTAGGGTAGAATCACTCCTCTTTTACTAAAAAAATCTTCTTCTAGTTCTTACAGGAAGATGAGCAAAACAAAAACACAGAGAAAGGAAAAAATTAAGTTAATCTTGGAGGAGAGTGTCCAGAGGTGAACTAGAGCCTTTCATCAACAGGAATGGGATGTAATGCTGCTCTTGCTATCATAGGAGAAAATTCTGCTGCCATAATGTGTCTTTTTCCAGTACTTGTACATTTCTTCCTCTCCTTGCTAGCAAACTGAGAAGATTAAGATACAGAAATGCCAAGCTGCTAAAAGAGCCAGAGCAGACATCAGAGAAATAAAAATGAAATAAAACCCAACTGCACATACCTTTTAGTGATACTGTTTGTAGGAGATGTCTGAATTGCAGTCATAAAACCAGGAAAAAGCACTGAAGGGATGGGAGAGCTCTCCCTAGCACTGCAGGCCATGAGCAAACCCTAGGCTATCCTTGGGCATTGGTCGCTACACACATTTTCCTCTTGCTTTTGCTCAAGACACCAGCTTGACCACATGAAGAAAAGTTTACCTAAAAATAAACCAAGCAATAATTCAGCCTTTTTAAAAAAGTAAATTTAAAATAAACTGTCATTCACAGTCTTAAGACCAAATTTGTCAAGAAAGATTGGCAAGATCTTCCCTCCTGTAAAGCCAGGCTGCTGCCTCAGGTGAACTGGCCCCGGGCCTCCACACTCCAACAGCTGCACCTGGGCCCCAGGGCCACCTGACTGAAACAAGGCCTGAAGGAGAAGCTCACTGGAGGACATTTTTAGCCAACACCACATGGAAAAGCAGCATGTTTGCACTGCCCCTCACACCTCCATGCCTGTGGCTCTGTGTCGATGGCAGGCGCCGGCCTGTGGAGCTCCCCGCGAGCTCCGGTGGCTCTGTGGCAGCCCCACAGGCGGGCACTGCACAGCCCCTTGGCAGTGCCTCGGGGGAAAAATGCATTCAAGAAAGGGCAAAAAGCAACAGTGAGGAGTGAGGGGCGGAAATGTGGAAAACAGCCCTGAAAGCACTGAAAGGAGGGCAAAAAGAGGAAAGGGATAAGGTGATCCCCCTGCAGCCAGTGGAGCAGAAGCCCCATGCCTGAGCTGAGGGGTATTTCCTGCAGCTGTGACTTATTTAAATTAATCATCATTAAATTATCATTTTTGAGAGATGGAGAACAATTAAAATATTATTCCTGATGACTAAGCAAACCTAAGTGCCATGAAAATTAGTTGTTCAGCACCATCACTATCAAAAACGAAGTTCACTTTGGATGTGCAATATGTCTGATGAGCATGGTGAAAAAAAATGTAATAAAAAGTGTTAATTTAGGCAAGTGAATAAAATAAGAATTTTCTGACTATCTATCAGCTGTTTAACAGGGTATCTGCTATCAAATTAAGAAGTGCAAAGGGGTGCAAATCCAGAGAGAGAAGGTCTTATCAAGTTCAGTGTAGTTCAGCTTTCTTGGACCTCACTCAGCTCAGCGCCATTCAAATCATGAAGAGAAACCATCAGAACTACTAAAAAAGAACTAATTGCAAAGGTCTTCTGAAATTATTTCCCAGTGTTAGACTGAAAGGAGATTTTATATTTTTTCCTCACACACACACACCAAACTAAAGCTCAGCCAGGAAGATTTTTAAGGGTCTAAAAGTTACAAAGAGTGAACAGGGATCTTCTTAGCCAACTATGCCTGCAGCTGGGCTGGAAACTTTTAGTCTGAGTCCTACCACACATTTCAGAGAGCACAGAGCTTTGCTATGAAGACTTAAGGCAGAAGGACACACACCACATCTTGATGAGCTGCTTCCAGAGTTAATTCCCTCATTGTTAAAATCTGACTTTTGTTTTGTAGCCATCAACTTTCAGACTTCAGATCTCAATGCACCCTTGTGTGTTCGACTGAAGAGCTCTTTAGCTAAAGAAAACATGGATATATTCAGCTTTTGATCAAATCACTTTCTGGTTTTTTCTTTGTCAAACAGAATGGGCAGAGCTTCTGGAAAGCTCCTACATCTTTCATTGTGAAGGGCAATCATGGAAAATGCAAAGTGGGGGCTTGATGTAGACCTTACCCTTTTAACTTTACCTTTTTTTAAATTCAGCTGTACCTTCTTTGAGGACATATACTCACACTGAAAACAGAAGATGGTCACTATCTTGTGCCATACTGGCACAAGAGACCAGCTATTTCCCAGCTCTGCATCTCAGAGAATTCAGGGAACCTCACACACTGATCGCAAGGAGGTTAACACTGACCAAACAATGAAAAATATTCAAATACATAATAAAGAGACTTCTACTGACTTTAAAGTTTTGCTTCAAGTAGCATCTGGTTGTTTGGGGTTTTTTTTTTCCCTTAACCTAGTTCACCAGTATTTTCTTTTCGATAATAACTAAAATGAAGTGTTCCCCCCAGCTGTTTGTATGAAACAAGGCAGAGACAGGAAGAGTTTGATGTCCATTTCACTGCAATAGTGAGTAAAAATGCAGATAAAAGAAAATTATGCATAATTATTATCACCATTAACACCATCTGTCATCACCCAAATATGCTGGTGGGTATACTGCTTACATTTTTTCATATACATATATATACACACACACAAACCTGGATATAACCACCCCCAGGGAGCAGATTCTACAGGACAGAGCATCTCTCTTTGCTCTGCTACTGCAGCATCACAGTCCCAGGTCTCTTGGAGCTGCTGGCTCCTCTTTTAACATCCCAAGCAGCACTCAGGGGAGCAACAGATGCAAAGCAACCCATGGCTCCCTGCCCCTCCAGTCATCTGAGGAGGCAGAAGATCCATAAGGTCTGATCCACCAGACTCAGACTTCCCTTTGTAAGCACAAAAGTAGTGATTCAAATACATAATATCCAGCTCCTGAAAGGGAAGACCTCTTGTTTTATTCTTCTTCCATGAGGTCCCACAGCTGTGCCTTTGAACTAGCCTTTTTTTCCCCCATTATTGAAGAGTCATGACATTTTCTTTATTTAGCACTTGAGGTTTTGTTTAAAAATATGAACTACCTAATCTGTATAACTCTTAACCAGCAATGTGAGCCATCTGCACATATTTATAAAGTGCACTGGCTGGAGATACATTAATGCTGGAATATGGCACACATACATATTCCTGCTTGGGATATATTTTTTAAATGCTCTTTTTCTCCAGAGGAGGCAAATGACTAATTGCTTCTGTTGTTTGGGTGCTTGAAGTGGAAAATGGGCATTTCTGCTGTTCTGCCTCCATTTCCAGGTGTTGAGTCCACACATGTACAATAAACATCAAGTAATCCACCTTGGCAAAAACTTCCTCTTTGCCCTCGCCCCTAGGCTAGGACTAATTGCTGCCTGCATGTGTATGTCAAACTCTCCCAGATGTTTTATGATTTACTCTTGCAAATGAAAATCGATCTGAAAACATGTGAATGAATCCAAGGTTGATCACACTTCTGCTACTGACTCCAACTTTCCTGCTGCATACCTTCAAAAATAGGGGTACTGCCCATGTTTTATCCTCATCAAAAAACAAATTTAGGTTCCTAAAGTGTTATCTGTTTGGAATTTAAATGACCAAACCATGATGCTGAAAAAACATATTATGCTAAATTGCCAGAAAGTTTCCAGGTGCTCCAGTCCTCCTCTGCATACTGGAAAAATCAAGGCCAAGCCACTGGATTTCTGTTCACATACAATCCTAATAACAACCTCAAACCAGGAGTACCTCACCCATTTCCCCTGGGCTTGGTCCAAGGCCTCCTGTATCCTGGGAATTCATGCCAAAAGCAATGGGAGCTGTTGCTGAGAGAGAGAGATGTGGTCACAGTTCTCATCTTCATGTGGTGAATATGGACCCCTTCACTGAGCAATCCCAACACCAGCTGTGCTTGAAGAAACTAAAGATGCATCTGTCCAGGCAGGTAAACAAAAGAATTTTGTGCTCCTCCTTCTATTCCATAAATAAAAGTATGCATTGAAAATTAATGCATGGTTGGACTGACCCTTTCCAGCTCATTGGCTGCAGAAAAGTATTTTGAAAATTAATTTAATGCATATTTACTCAATGGACCAGAATGATTCACTTCAGCACATGAATATGCCTTATTAAAAACCTGCTTACACACAAGTTACTCAAACCAGCCCTTTTTTTCAACTCTCCAAGGCATGTATGAAATACCATGTTCATTACATATAAGTCTGGGAAACCATTATTTCATCTATCTTCTCCAAGAGAAAAGGGTGTGCTTTAAAAAGAGCAGAATAAAAATGATTGCAATGAGTGCTTCAGATGCTATGAACTGTCTGGAGAAAGTCTGTCTGAAGCTGAGTGATGAGCCAGCTTGGGTAGCAAGTTTTTAACGGGGCCTGTTGTGATAGGACAAGGGGGAATTGCTTTAAACTGAAGGAGGGTAGATTCAGACTAGATACAAAGAAGAAATATTTTACTATGAGGACAGTTAAACACAGGAGCAGGTCTCCCAGGCAGATAATAAGTGCCCCATGCCCGGGTCAGGCTGGATGGGGTTTTGAGCAACCTGATCTAGTTAAAGATGTCCCTGCTCATTGCAGGAAAGTTGGCCCTTTCAAATGAAAGCATTCTATGAATCTATATCTCTTCCCACACTCTCACACTCCATATAAAGCCTCCTGCAGAGGGTGCAGACCCCAGGGTGCAGAGACACTTTTGCAAAATGTTTCAAAAAGGCTCATTTTTCAGTGAGATAAGAAAACCTTTCCATTATCTTCATCCTCTGTGACAGGTCATCCCACCAGCTACGTGAGACTGCATCGCTCGATGTGTCGGGGCCAAGCAGCACCCGAGCAGCCTCACAGAAAAGTGCCTTAATTGCTGGTAATGCAATAGGTCCACTTAGCACCAGCAAAGCAATTCAAAAATGGAATCAAACATTTTCTGGACACACATTTAGGGAGCAGCCAGCTGTGTTGGCATGTTGCTCCATTACTTAACCACTGGGTCATATATCTGTGACTGCAGATGGCTTTTACATCCCCACCTCTTAAGCAGCATCTGATACCATGACCGAACGCTGGCCCAAAGGGAGGGATGCAGTCATTCTGACCAGAAAGGCTTTTTCCTTTAAATTAAACACCATCTCAGGCAAGGCATGAGAAGGTTTTTCTGTGTCCCCGTTAGACCCAGTGGAAAGAGGCCTCCTTAGCTCCAGCATGAGAAGCACTACCCATGTGCAATTCAGCTGCAGCTCTGCCTTGCAAAGTCCAGGGTTGGGCAAATAAAATTACCTTTCCCCATCAATCTCTCACCAGCACCCCAGGACACCCACATTGCTTCTCATGGAGAACTTCTAGTGATGTTTCTTGAAGACATTTTTGCTTCAACTCCCCTTCATCCCAGTTTTTTTTCTTCCAGGCATCTCTAAGGAATCCACAGCCTCCAGGGGCAGCTGCAAAAACATCACCATGCCAGTATTTGCAGTGTAAATCTGCTAGGTTTAATGCTGACACAGCTACAGCTGCTTAGCTGTTGGCTGCACAGGGAAGGCAACAAAGAAGATCAGAAAAAAGTGCCTTGGTCTACCTGAGCAAATGTACCAGAAAAGTAACAGCACAAAATATGAAAACATAATGGTCTTACAAACAGACCCATGGGGCATCAATTTACCAAGTACCAATGCAAAAGTATTCACACTATGGATCCTGCTGCAGGCCAGACACTCTGTGGCACAGAGAATAAATGGTGTAGACCACAAACTTGTGGTTCCTGGCTCATTGTACTTACACAGGCTTTGACAAATGCCTTGGTGAACAGCTGTAGCCTCTCACTCCCATCCTCAACCACAAGCTAAGTGTCCAAATGCCCCAACTTTATCAGAACTACTTACTTGGTTGAATATTTTGATGCTTCGGATTATATAG